AATACTCGGACAGCATGTGAGGGTTTCTCCGAAAGAAGCTGTCCTAGTTGTGTATACCTCAAGCACACCTCTCCTTTTCTCTTTGCCCCCCTTTCGCAGCCACACCATCGTGTTCAAGGAAGCCTAACGATAAGATGTGTGCGAATGACCACTTCAAGAAGTCACCAAGTCTCTTTCGGAGTAGCATCATCATCATCATCATCATCAGCCTGACTACGTCCACTGCAGGACAAAGGCCTCTCCCATGTTCCGCCAGTTAACCCGGTCCTGTGCTTGCTGCTGCCAATTTATACCCGCAAACTTCTTAATCTCATCTGCCCACCTAATCTTCTGTCTCCCCCTAAACCGCTTTCCTTCTCTGGGAATCCAGTCAGTTACCCTTAATGACCAGTGGTTATCCTGTCTACGCGCTACATGCCCTGCCCATGTCCATTTTTTCTTCTTGATTTCAGCTATGATATCCTTAACCCCCGTTTGTTCCCTAATCCATTCTGCTCTCTTCTTGTCTCTTAAGGATACACCTACCATTTTTCTTTCCATTGCTCGCTGCGTCGTCCTCAATTTAAGCTGAACCCTCTTTGTAAGTCTCCAGGTTTCTGCTCCGTAGCTAAGTACCGGCAAGATACAGCTGTTATATACCTTCCTCTTGAGGGATAGTGGCAATCTACCTGTCATAACTTGAGAGTGCTTGCCGAATGTGCTCCACCCCATTCTTATTTTTCTAGTTACTTCAATCTCGTGGTTCGGCTCTGCGGTTATTACCTGCCCTAAGCAGACATAGTCTTTTACAACTTCAAGTGCACTATTACCTATCTCGAAGCACTGCTTCTTGCCGAGGTTGTTGTACATTACTTTCGTTTTCTGCAGATTAATTTTAAGACCCACCTTTCTGCTTTCCTTGTCTAACTCCGTAATCATGAGTTGCAATTCGTCCCCTGAGTTACTCAGCAATGCAATGTCATCGGCGAAGCGCAGGTTACTAAGGTATTCTCCATTGACTCTTATCCCTAACTGTTCCCATTCTAGGCTTCTGAAAACCTCCTGTAAGCACGCGGTAAATAGCATTGGGGAAATTGTGTCCCCCTGCCTTACACCCTTCTTGATTGGTATTCTGTTGCTTTCTTTATGAAGCACTATGGTAGCAGTTGATCCCCTGTAGATTTCTTCCAGAATGTTTATATATACTTCATCTACGCCCTGATTCCGCAGTGTTTGCATGACGGCTGATATTTCTACTGAATCAAACGCCTTCTCGTAATCTATGAAGGCTATGTATAGTGGTTGGTTATACTCTGAGCATTTCTCTATTACCTGATTGATAGTATGAATGTGGTCAATTGTTGAGTAGCCTGTTCGAAATCCTGCTTGTTGCTTTGGTTGATTGAATTCTAATGTTTTCTTTACTCTGTTAGCAATTACCTTTGTAAATAGCTTGTATACTACAGAGAGCAAGCTGATCGGCTTGTAATTCTTCAAGTCCTTGTCATCTCCTTTCTTATGTATTAAGATGATGTTAGCGTTCTTCCAAGACTCTGGTACTCTTCCCGTCAGGAGACACCTCGTAAACAGGGTGGCTAGTTTTTCTAACACAGTGGAGTAGCAAAGACTACTTCAACAAGAAAGATACATTTTGCCCTTTTTCAGTCGATCGTACCTACTCCACTCCCCCCCCCCCTCCTCTTGAAATCCTTCCACCTAGAACATGGCTTCTGTTTCACCTCCCAGACTCGAAGCTCCCTGCAACTTCCGTCGCTTCGCATTGCCTCTGGCTTCGCCAAACCTTTACCAAGATGCTATGTCATGTAACGACGTCATAGCGTAGTAACACGTTACATGACGTCAAAACTGCGTCATCAACTTTTGCGTCACTCGTGCGCCCGCCACCGATGCCGACGATGACGTACCACGTTTGATCAGGCATCATAGCATTGACGTTAAAGTAGGAAGAGGTCAAAGTAGAATGTACAGCCATGGTTACTGACTTCTGTGGCCACTGCTCCGATCCCTGGCACAGCTTGTAGTAGAACACGGGGGGCAGCAGGAACGCCACAGGGCAGAGCGCAAGGGACCCAACGAGTCCCATCAAAGGTCCTTCGTATGGCAAGGCCAGGGCGATTCCACCGGCGCACAAGGCTAGCGGAGCCGATATTCGGGCACGCCTCCAGGCCACGCCTGCACGAAGACATGCGCACCATTCTAAAAATTTAAGAATTCACAACCTAGTTTCACCCTCTTTTAAGTGCTTGATGAATTTCACTGTAGTTGTGTGATATTCTATCCATCATTTCATTGGGACAAAGTATGTGATGATCACGACTGATTATCTTCGCAATTGAGTAAAAGGCAAGGGGGAAAAAGCTAGACAGTTTGACCAGAACAAATGTGTAGGTGCTACTTTACCTCAGGAAGTAGTGGGAGTAGAGGCTTGAAAAAAGTAAACAGAGGTTAGCCTATCACGGGAACGCAAACATTCTAAAGCCGTGCCTTTCAGCTTCGGCATCAAGCTGTGCTATTGACTGTAGCGTGCTTACTTGTTATCCCAAGAAGCCAGACTCGTTCACCAAAATGCGGCTGCAGGTTCAACAATAGTGCGAAACAAAGTGTTTCCTGTCCTGTTGTTGTACCCTAAAACATTTATGGTTGATTCCGTGCGTGAAATGAGATGTTCTTTTATATATAATTGCTTACGCGTAATAACAAGGCTGGTCACGACGCCACTGTGACGTTACAACCTTAGACAACGTTAGATGGCATCAAATGACCATTTCTGAGGGTCGTATAAAGAAGCACGTCACGTTTTAATGCATACAAATGGCCTAAATTTCAGATACTACCTGACTGTGAAGGATAAAACACCCTGAGAGGCTATAAGTACCAGTTGCAATCGTATTAGGATATATTCAGGCATGGGGCTTGCACAATTTTAAATAATTATTGTTTAAACACAACCTGCAGTCTTATACAAAAGACCAAGACGACAAGAAAGTGACAAGAAAGTGGCAACCCTCTCTCCTCCGTCCTCTTTGAACAAAAAATGTTTTATGCCAGTGTCCATCAAGAGTTCACGTATGCATTTCGGTCACATATATGACTTTACCAAGTGTTTACTAATAGATGACATAAAAAATTTAGAGAACGTTTCGTCGCCGGCAATCGAACACACGACCCCTTGCTCCACAGCGCATGGTGATAAATGACTCATGACTCAGCCCCAAAGAGCACGTTCTAGAGCGCGCTAACGGCGAGCTCTTCGTATTCACCATTTACCTTTGGCAGGCGCACACACCTCGTTGACTTTCCAGGGTGTCCTCGTTATCACTAGCAAGATGACGCAGAGAGTGCGTAGGGCATTCTTTGAAGGTCGTCGGCCCTCTCGTGGCAACGCGCGCGCACGTGATTCCTGCCTATATAAACCACATGTGTTTTGCTCTAGTAGCCGTGGTCGCCCGTACGCGTGTCCTTCGGCGTGTTGAAGGTGGATTGTTCATCTAGTGCTTTATTCGCGAAATTTCTGTGGAAGTTACAAAAGCACGTAGGTCACTGAGCTTACTCCAGCGGCCGCGTTTGATAAAGGAGTGGGGCTGCTCAAACACAAAGACAAAAGGACTGAGTAGCATACTTTAAGTGTCCAGCTGTGACAATGCTTAGTACGTGCTCGTCCTGTCTGTTCGTTTAGAGTGTCCTTTATGATTGAGCAGCCCGATGAAAGTTTTAAGCTGCTTGTCATTACTAGCACGGCATTCCAATTTGTAGCTATTTCACTCTATCATTCGTCCTTGCGGCAATACTGCGACTTTTTTCATGTGCTTGTTGAAGCCCCCCTTGGGTGGGGCTCGCAACATGCGGTTTTCAGGTACACGCTAACAGCTAGAGCTACCCGCATGGTTACATCTTGATTATGAGCGTTAGTCGTCGGGGTGGAGATCTACCACTATTGGCGTCTACGGAGGCCCATCTATGTCAATTAGTGGGGTATATGATCAATCGGACAGTCGTTAAAGATCTTGTATATTCACGATGAACGTTCAAATACTTTTGTGGAGACGCGTTTTATTTTCATACTATGCCGACTCCTAAGACCGAATGTGCAGCCATGTTTTTTTTTCTCTACTATGTTGCTAGTTCGGAGCCCACTCCTTCACCCACGAAAGACTACACACTTGACATATTGTTGCACTGTCTCTGATATAGAGATTCATAGTGCACTAGAGGACACTTTGCACTAGTGTATATGGGAGCTGCGAATAATGGGTAGTACATGAATTTGCCTAATCTGTGGTTTCTCGGCTCCTTGTGGTTTCGTGCAGTCTTCCACCGCTTTGCCTCAACACTAACTTTAGAAAATCTTCAGCAGCCCCACATGACCACCATGACTCACTTGGGCTCGAAAATTCAAATTACCCGAGGACGTTCACGATGAGCCACTCTTTTCTTTGAAACCCAGGCGAGAACAAAACAATAAACCAAGCCACAAGTGTTTTTTGAAGCCACAAACGTTACTAGGCAAATTCATGTAGTACCCATTATTCCCATGGTGTCTGAGCCATGGCAGTGCCCCAATTTTCTCTCATAAATATTGTAGGACACACTACGGGTTGCCGGTTAGACTCACCTTTGACCAAGGGACGACGTCATCGTGTGGCGTTACACTTTTTTATGGGACCATGACGGCACACATGTGGGCGCTGTGTGGCGCCATGATAGCTCTGCAGATAGTACCATCATGACATCATCTATGATTACGTGACTTTCAGGATCAATTGTATTTTTTCTTTCAATTTGAATTTGTTATTTCATCATCAAAACAGAACGTGATAGCCAAGGAGCCCACTGGTAAAAGCTATCTTTCGATACATTGACGCCAATGACGCGACGCTGACGTCAGTGGTCAGCTTTTGCGCTTCTTGGGTCATCAAAGGGTTTTGCTTTCACAACGATATGATCCAACAGACTTCTGGTAAAAATCATTGAGATTCAAAGAACAGCAGCAAGACACTCACGTTTTCCGTAATCTTCTACGTGGTCGTATTCTCCCAGTATGAGGTCGCTGAGGTTCGACACCTGCCCCATGCACGTCACAGTGAAGAAGTGGGCTGCGATCCGGACGTTTCGTGTGTTGAGAATCAGCACGACGTTTCCGTTGAACGGGTAAAGGACCGCGTAGGCAGTTACGCCAACGATGAATAAAGCCAGCGTGCTCCCTGCAGGAAGTGCATCTCGCAGTTTAGAGAAAACGCAGAACATCGCTTGTGTCTACAGTCGACATTTCTACTAGTGTCTTCACAACAGCAACCACTTTCTTGGGTTGCACAAATCCCAGTACTTTCCTTTCTCTCAAACATGAAGGCTAGGTTGAAAAGAGAGAAGAAGCGAAATTGAGAAAAAAGGTGGTGGAAAAAAAGAAGGACTACGGGCATATAAAAAAAATGGATGTCCTATCCAACGGGCTGAGTAAGAAAGGAACGCATCAACAAACGATAGAAAACCAGGAACAGGTAGGGCGAGGGGCGCGGCCTTAAGCCTAAACTTGGTTTCATATACCCCAAAAGCAGCTACCGCCATGAATGCAATGGACAATAAACGTACGAACTGAGTTTCCGCAAATTTTACACACTTTATAGTGCCTCTCTAAATGCACACTTGGCTTTCCTTGACAGACGCCTAGGAAAAAGCTATCAACCTTTAATTATCCTGTTTTCACTGCAAAAAAAAGTTTGCTTCCCTTTAATAGGTATCCAAAAACTTCCCGACATAGTTGTAGCATAATCAATTCGTCGCTTGACAGTGTTGTTAAAGAAAATGATCTTAGGTCAATATTCGTTTGCAGCCTTTCAGAGATGTTGCGCCTGTTTTTATTGCTTCTAAATATCTTGCGTATTCGGAAACACGTGTAGCAGCGAGCACCAGTTGCTTGAAATATCTGTTACGAAAGTGTGCAGCAAGCCAACCAATTTTAGTTCCCATGGGCATCGGGCTGAAACTCTTGGAGCTGACATCAAATCCACAGAGCACTACGTATACCACCTACATGTCTGAGGAGCAATAGATCCGCAGTATTGTGGAAGTGATTCTTAAATGAGAGAAAGAGGATAAAAGTGGGCTCCGTAACTGTCTGCATCAGACTGCGACACCTCAACAGTGGCTCACGAGGGAAGGAGATAAGGAGGAATTAAAAAAGGATACAGTGAGAAATAAAAATAAGACAAATAAAGATGGGGACGCGGTCGAAGGAGTCCGAGTATGGGGTACCACTCATCGAGAGCTTCACGGCGTCAGGAGATGGCGGAGGGCGAGCCGATCGGCCAGAGATGCGCTGTCGTCGGAGATCGCGGGGGCACAACCGTTCGGCACGGAATACAGCCAGCGAGAATTTCGGGGGTTTATGAGATTGGTGATTGTAATTTCTGGCATTTTCTTGCGAAAACCATGATTTGATTAGCACTCAAGCCAACATGCTGAGCTGAGGATGTTTCGAACACCTCTTGTTTAACGTGAACTGACATCGCACTGTAGAAGGGCCTCTTGCATTAGGCCTTCATCTCACTGTATCGAACCCTGGACCTTCCAGTCAGCAGCCGAGCTTCGTACATACTTCAACACCAAGCTGGACTATGGCGTGCTAGGTTGTCCATCTACTCTGAAAATTCTTGAGGGAACGCAAGAGCTCAGAACGTAAAGACACCGAACAATGAGTTGAATGGCCTGAGGCTTTCGGCGAATACAGATTGGAGCTTACAAGCAGTCCTTCGATTTCTGAAGACAATAGTCTTCCTTGGGATACTACAACGCAGACATTTCGGTCTATCCGTGTACCCGTGTGTCTCTCATTCTTCTGTCACTCAATTCAGAAGAATGGTGAAGCTTGAACGCCTTCCTAAGTGATCAGCTACTTTTATTGTGGTTTTCACGTTAATTAACACTCATACGGGCATTGCAAATGAAAAAAATATTATTACGCATATGTTGGCGCAACGTCTGTACGGGGTCATTAGGCAGTGTGTAGCTATATTTCTAAAATGCATAGATACGTAATTATAAGACCGCCATGCTTATTACGTGGCGCTGCGAATTCGACGGTATGACCAAAAAAAAAGAAGTGTTTATTATATGATTCACCAAAACCACCAGGTGCTGCCAACTACCAGTGACTTTGCATTCTAGATAAACTTCGTTTCCTCATATTACCACTAGATGGCTTCCATAGAATACGCAGTGCCTATCCGCCGATTTGTTCGCCCATAACATCAAATAGGCGTTTCATTCTCTCTCTCTCTCAAGGCAGGTGACTGTCGTCTTTCGATGACCTTTGCCAACGAAGCACGCAGACACGCCGCCAGTTTTTTCACACTGCTAGTGGAATTAAAGGCACACACAGCCTATGTATACGTGCTTTCGTTTTTAACTCGGAAACCTACGACAGAAAATTTTCGGTCTGTCGACAGAAAAATTTTGGCGCCCACCAATATTGCTGAAGGTTTTGCACTCATAGTTGTGGGATTGTCAATTAAAAAGCAATTATTGCGCATATATGAGGCGCCACAACAACGCTCCGATGTTTTCTATGTCTGCTTTTATACTGGAAGAGGCACACACAAGGGATTCTAAGGAGTGTAGAGTTTAATCGTGCTGCGCTGATAGTGCAACGCGATGCTAAAAAAGGTGTTTCCAACGATTTCCTACGACGTCACGGTGGCGGCATCTGCCGGTCGCCTTACCACCTCAGAGACTGGCGCGCATCTTTCTCCGCGGGCTGCACGCCTTCGTTTTCGAAGTTAACTGCCAGATGGTGCTTGTGTCTAGCGTGCCTAGATGCACTCGTTCGCCTCCGCCACACACTCGAGGCACTCTAACGCAGCGCCTGCAGAATACCATTCTCCGATTTTCTTGCGCAGAACATAAAATAAACGTTTTGTTCACTCTCTTCAGACGCAGGACTGTCGTCATTCGACGAAATTTGCGGTGTAACATGCAGATTTGGAACCAATTTTTGTTATGGGCGAAGATCCTTAGGGTGTGGATCGATCTCTCGTAGTTGTATGTTGTTTCCTGAATATACACTGGAGAGAACTCTGGCGCTAGTGTCTATGGGAGTTCCCACGCATGGCGCTTCAGCGAGCATGGGTATTATGAGTATTACATGAATTTTCATAGTCTTCGTACTTTACGTTCCTTCTGGCTTCGCGTGGCTCGATGCGGCTTTGTCACCGAACAACAATCGCCAAATGTTCAGTAGCTACGCTTCACCACCTTCAACATTTAGGATCACCATTTTGAGTGCGATCAACATTTCGAATGCTAGCCACAAGTGCGATTCGCCACCCTCCAGCATGAACACTAGGCAAATTAATGTGATACCCGTAATTCCCTTGGTCCCGAACGATCTCAGCTCCAGAGTCCCGTCTAGTTGATTTTACGAAACTCTAGGGCCTCTTCTTGTTAGCTTTAAGAATTACTAGATGGCAGTGTGCGTATATGTCCTTCGGAATAGGATTACTAGATGGCGCTAGTGGTTTTTGTATAGTTGACGATTGAAACAGTATGGGTGAAAAAAAGTCACAGTATATCCAAGGAGTGAATAATAATGTGTGGGACGAAGTGTCCATCCTTTTGTCTCCCGTTCAATGCGTACTGTATTGGGGTAGGAGTGGACGGACAGACGTACGGATGGACAGACAGACGTACGGATGGACAGACAGACAGACGTACGGATGGACAGACAGACAGACAGACAGACAGACAGACAGACAGACAGACAGACAGACAGACAGACAGACAGACAGACAGACAGACAGACAGACAGACAGACAGACAGACTCATAAACGGTCGCTTCACCCCACTCATCAGCATTTACTCCATGGATATTCTGTGAACTTTTTCTATTTTTACCACGAACCACAACGAGACGCCAAGCTAAGCTGCCTCCACTCGCATGCGTTTGTACTTTCGCGCTTTTTGCATCGTGCAGACGCCATACACGTTCTAGCGCTTATAACGCTTACTTCTCCTCGTGCTTGAGGGGGAAGTGCCACAGCTGGCCCCATGCCAGTACAACGGTCACCAATCGCCGCGAGGATCAGACACTAGACAGATTTACTTGCGCGTTCGCAACAGCCATACGGACGCAGTCTGCCAGCCATTCGCAAAGGGAGGCTGCGGCCATACGCCTGCTGCTGATACGCAACTAAATCTGTCTCTTAAACGCTTTCGTTCAAACATAAAATTTAACGAATTCATCAACCATGCTGTGAGCTACTTTCTGCAGATCTTGTGGCCGTCACGCGCAATGACTTACCAGCAACTCCGAAGGCAGCAGCCTTGGTGAAAGAAGGCGGTGCCTTCATGTCACGTCGAATGTTTGTGAATTCGCACACGCCGGCGAAATTGAAGACCAAAATCCCGAGACTGACAAAGTATAGGGCGCTGGTAACGTCCTTGACGCCCTTGGACAGGCCAGAGACGTCCCCGATGAGAGAGCCGAGGTCGAACAGCTTTATGGTAAACATTGCCTCGCCGGTTCCTGCAGCCATCTTCTTGTTGCCCGCGATGCCAGTGAGCAACAGAATCATGAGCACCACAGCCACCGGCGTGTTTAGCACGCCGCACCTGCGTCCAAAGTTGCCAACGCACACATTCAGTTTGTAAAGTTGATTGATATGTGGGGTTTAACGTCCCAAAACCACTGATGATTATGAGAGACGCCATAGTGGAGGGCTCTGGAAATTTCGACCACCTGGGGTTCTTTAACGTGCACCCAAATCTGAGTACACGGGCCTACAACATTTCCGAGTTTGTAAAGTTATTAGAAAGATTAGTCTATACTTACTTCTATGTTCAGAGACGCCATTGGCTGCACAAAAATTCTTTTTTTGCATGACTGGAAGACTTGACGGTGAAATTCATCACGTCTGCGCTAATTTGACAGCGGTACTGTCTCGATGCCATCCTAAATTATTAGCAAATACCTAAAGTTACACTTGATTTCTGAATATTCAGCAACACTGTGTTAATCTCGACTACTTTCAATGAAATTGAACCATATTCACTTATTTATATAATAGATTCAATTTGCTTCGTTCACATTTTCGTTGCTGTCAACAACTTATTCTTTCCCTTCACAACGCATTAGTTGACTTACGCGTGTGCGACACAGGTAACTGTGATGCGTGCCTTTAGCATTTTTTTTTGCTTTGTGCGATCTTTCTATCTGTTCCTACTGACGCAGATGGCCAATTTAAGTGTTTTATTAGTCCACTACCACTTTCGCCTTGACAATGATGTCTAATTTTCATCGACAGTTTGACTGATGGGCACTAGAGGTAGTTATACGTTCCAAGAAACTTGAAACATTGTGGTTACACCAGACCACAACAGAGTTTTGTCGCAACAATGCAGCAAAACAGTAACTTACATGAAAACCAACAAACAGTCAAGCCAAGGAAGGTGCATTGAACGTCATTTGTAGTCCTTCAATTCTATTGCAATATTCGTGACAAGAATTTAAAGATAGTGAGAACGCACCTTCTGGCTGGCAGAAAGCAAATCTGCGAATACTAGCGTTTTAGTCAGCTGCCATATCCGCCAGAGGTCGCATGCTAAGTGACTGCCACTTGCCGAAAGAAAGAGTGTTTCACAGTCGCCTTTAGAGATATGAGCAGCGCTGAGTAACGCTGTCACGTTGGCGTGCACAGAAATACCAGATGAAATGGCGGGAGAACACCCTTGTCCATAGTTCAACTGGTAGAGTGTCGGGCCCATTATACGAAAGTCACAGGTACGATGCTTAAGGGTGGAAAGTTACCCTATCCTCCCCTTCAAGTTCATCGCATATAAACTATAATTGCTACAATACTGCTACAAGGCTGCTAATAACATCCCCTGTACCTTCATTGGCATCATCGGGTGCTTATGTTCAATTAAGTTGGGTCCAACAAAATAAAGTAGCCCTAAAGCTCTCTTCCTCCTTAACAAAATAAGAGGCTGTTTCCGCCTTCGGACTCACCAGTATCGGCAGTAGGTTGCCGTGGTAACCACTGGAGAGGACGAACAGCACTCCACAGCCAACAACGAATCCGCAGTATAAGTGTCCCCTTGGTACTGGCACTGGTAGGATGAGGGCCACGAAGTCAACCATAGTGGCCGACACGATCACAATGAGCACAGCCCAAAGTCCCACGACGCAGAACAATCGCAGGGCACCCACAACCTTCCTGCACAAAGAGCGATATATAAGGGCGCAGTAATAGGCGATAGTCGGCTTGCTCCTAGAGTAAGCATCATAAGTGCCTAGAACTCTTTCGTTCCTAGATAGAACATCCTGTATGCCTAGGACTTTATTGGTCTTAGGCGAGGCACTCAGGTATCCAGCATTCTCTTGGTCGTAGGCAAAAGATTCAGGGTGCCTGTAGGACTCTTCGTCCTAGAAAAGACATCCGGAGTGTCTGGTACTCCCAATGCTCTAAGAAATAGATCTGCAGTGCCTAAAATTATCTTGATCTTAGGCAAGATATGAGGAGTGCCTGCTTTTTCTCGAACCAAAAGTAAGTAGTAAAGGACATGACAGGCTTCAGTTCATTATGTAAGAGAGATTTGTCGTCAAGTAGAACCTTACGATAGCCCTGGTCCCACGGCTCTGTTCGCAATGTCCGAGTACTGCGTGTACCAGTGGAACCGGCGGTACTCCTCGTGACGCTCTTCCAGCGTTTCGCAGCATGACTCGAGCAGGCCCGCGCTAAAGACTGTGAGAACTCCGAACACCGGAAGCCAAAAGATGGCGCTCCATCCTGCAAACACATCATCGCACATTATGTTTGTCTCTTGCTCTTGCAGCGAGCGTTATAAACTTATTGATCAATCTTGCATGAAGTGGAACCGCAACGTTTGGAGATGGGCCAAAAATGCTCTATATGAATAAAACGTGCAGCTGCTGCTGCTGAACTAGCTGCCCGAGATGAGCCTCCACACGAGCAATGCCTTAATCCAGAAGCACGTGCCATCGAAGCAGAAGTGTTCGCCTCAACCTATCGCAGAAGGAAAACACCCAAACAGGGGCACTAAGTTGCACATTCGGTTTTATTAAAATAGTAAGTGAATCTTGAGCCAGTGAAACAATGAAGAAATCTAAGGTTCAGCTACCCTTCATAGCAATGTATTAATTTTCTTTGTTCATGTTTGACCGCCCGTCTTCCTTCAGGTCCTCCGGCGTTAACTCCACCGAAATAACCCGTTGCTTCGCCGATGCATTGTCTGAAGTGCGTGTGCAGTGCGCTCGCCTCGTAAATCAACTTGTTCCCATGCCTCAAACTCCATGGTTCACAAGCTACAAGACGGTGGTCGCTCTACTGAAGCTAAAGGGTTGCTTTTCTGCTGACACGACTTTTCAATACTTGCGTTGCCACGCAGCCTCCCAAAGTCTTTGATATTATAATATTGATAATGATACTACTTTATTAGAATTTAATAACAATAAAAATAAAGTAACTAATACTTATAATATCGTTACTATATAGTAATATTATTAATATTGATAATTCTTGGGGTTTTCCATCTTGAAACCACTGTATGATTCATCGTAAAGCAGTATACGATTATGAGAGACGCCATAGTGGAGGACTCCAGAAATTTAGACCATGTGGTGTTCTCTAACATGGACTGAAGTCGCACACTACATGGGTCTATAGCATTTTGCCTCCATCAAAATGCGACAGCCGTGGCCGGGATCGAACCATCGACCTTCGGGCGAGAGAATCGTTGGCGTAAGCTTTAGGTGTGTGTAATAGGACGTATATAGAGCGTGATATATTAAAAAAAGTTATGGACCATCTCTCCAAAGGAAGCCATGATGGAATGCGAGACAGCAGTGGTGCATACTCCGCTGACCCGGCTGAAACTGGCGTCGACGCGGCTGCTGGAAGAGTGGTTCAAAGAGAAACTCGGTGTAGCCTTTGCTCGAGTAAATGTTTTTTTTTTTCGAAACGCAAAGACACGAGAGGCGGGTTAGGTTTTGTGTAAGTTCCACCACAGACAAATGAGCCAAAAGTGTTACCACTCGACGGGCGGTCGAGCATCTCGGGCGGTGGAGAGGGTGAAGCGAGAGGGAAGTGTGTGGTGAGCGGGTGGAGGAGCAACACCTAGGTGTGTTGGGAGGAGCCAGCAGCTGCTGTGGGTGAGAGACAGAGTGACGTCAACGCGCAATTGCAACTTTACCTACTTTGCGTCGTTTCAACAACTGCGTTAGAGTGAACACGGTGCAGCGCATTGGCACGGAGACACGGACGGAGAGCGTTACACAGGCTAGTCGAAAAGATGCTTCACATCTGAAACTTTGCTTTACGGTAGGTTACACTGTAGGAATAAACGTTACATCCACCCCACAGCTGTTGCTTATCCACCAATGGAGAAATTGCATAGGCAGTGGATCTAATAAACAGTGCTCATTCACGTGACGTCATGCACGTCAAGCGTATTTCAGCTATGTGACTTTCCATACAACCTCACGTTCGTCTCGCGAGTTCTTAGTTGCACACTTAAACTCCTTGACAAATTGCAGCAAAGATCTGACGTCATGGCGCTGCCAGCCGCCACAACATCGTGACTACAAGTAAAATTTATTTTATATTATGTGTGGGGTTTAAACAAACAGCGAAAACGTACTTGGCGTTGCAATGAAAAGCACTATGATGCGTAAGTTATCGACAGGTGCGCCCCGCCATATATGGGCCGAAATGATGTCTATAAATATGCCAGGTTGAAGCACAAATATGGTGGGACGCGAACATTGCAAAATCGCGTTGCAGTTGTAATACATCGCATACTGCCTATTTAATAAGCGCAACGGGTCAATGACGCTTCAGTGACGTAGTTATCACACTTCAGCAAGTTACTCACTGCGCAATTATACTGCATTGACGTCATATAAACCACCATGTTAGATCTAGATATGTTAGGTGACGTCCCGTTCAACCTGTTTATTGGTGGTGGAGCTATACTCCGTTTCATACATCATGTGCAACGCTGTCTAAGCTAGCGCTCTTGTTTGCGCTGTGTACTGCCGCGACCAAAAAGTAGTGCGTCGCTTGGGGTGTACGAGAATCAATAAATGCTTCTCGGGAAACTTCTAAGCATACATATTTGTCATCAAGTTAAAAAACAAACGCCTGTGTTGTCGGATAAACAATCCAAATATGCGAGTTGGTAATTTATGTTTGTCGCTTTCGTATCAGGTTTTCGCTCTCCGCGCGACCCACGCCGCCGTTACGATACGAAAGTGAGTTGGCTCAGGGTCTAACTGGAAGTGGAAGAAACACAAACATGCTTGAACCAAACGCCTCACCTATCCATACGAAAGCAAACGGGATCATCACCATTCCAGCACCAGTCAGATTGCCCGCCAGGGACGCAGCAGTCGCAGCTAGGCCTAGTGAAGCCGGCACCGCTGGAAGCACAGGGTCAGCCTTTTTATACTGCTGCCTGTACCACAGCTTGGTCTGCGTCCACCAGTCGCCTTCTTGAATAGGGGGCGCCGTCGTGAATCCAGGAGTCGACGGGGTGTTGAGGATGGTTGAAGGTGTGTCTCCATAGTCCGGTGGTGGTGCGTACGCATGGCCATTCGCTACATGGACGTAGTGGGCAACATTTATACTTCCATCGGCGCTCTCGTGCAAGTGGCTACATTAAAAACTTCGCTACTGAACAGACAGGCAAAGAAGTACATACAAACAACACGTTCATTCAGGCACCACAGCGCACCCTCTTTTATAACAAGGAGGGACATAATATGATATTTAAATAGCAATTATTGAGGGATCAATGGAACGAATAATTGGTAGACGCCCTCTTCAAAGCGTCTTGATATTCACTTTTGGAGAAGGAAACTTGAGTGGGTGGAGGAAAAGAACGCATGTACTGTTATTGCCAAGAATACGTATCTAAAGTTACGATAATTGCACCTCATGGTATAAACAACTTTAAGGAAAGGGGGAAGATTTAGTCAGATAATTCATTTCATAATCAGCGGTCGAGAAACATTGCAGAAAAAAAGAGCCGATATGCCTAGGCTATAGAGACACCAGCTCCACTCAGTATCCTTTCTGTGCTTGCGCAACAACTGATCGGCACTTCTGTACCAGCAGACCTTTCAGCAAGTTGGGCGTGTGCAAACCTTTTGTCTTCGTGATTCAAATGCGGCTTTATTGCGGCAGATAAGTCAGTGCTACTTTAGGAGTATCATGATACTAGAACAGTAAAAATGGCACCGCTGAGTGTGCGATTTCTGTACCTGATCCCAGAATGTGAAGTTTCTCTAATGCGGTACGCGTTGTATCAGAGAGCGGTTGACTTTGCATCACGTATCTTGGCGTTTTTTGATGTCAAGTTCACGAACGATAACTCTGTTCTCTGGTAGACAAGAATGTGGCCGCGATGTATGCCGAGATTACGTAATGTAAGAAACGTCTCGGACGTGGCTTCGGTCTCGCGCTTACGAACTTGTTCAGGTTGCGAGCATGATCGACATGCCCATGCGCTATCTTTCAGGGGCAAAATAGCATGTAGGTCAGGCATGACAATGAGGCCTATCAACGGTAACATAAGTTTTTCGTAACGTTCGTACATGACTTTAAAGTAGGACTCACGCATTCCATGGCTGGTAAATGAGTCAGGTTCATTATCACCTAAAATACTGAATGATTTCATACGTGGTGTTGGAAATTGTTTGAACCTCCCGCGCGAATAGCGCGCGCACCAAGACGGAGAACGACGTGGAAGAGGAAGAGACCAGCCGAAATAGAACACGCTCTTTTACCATGGATGCTGGCGTTTGCGTCTCCTTCATTTGGTGCCTTTAAACTCCGAAGCGTGGTTTTCCCACATCGATTTTGTTGTCTTCCTTAATGACGACTACATCGTTAACCTTAAGCTGGTTGCAAGGCTGTACTCGCCTAATGTGTGCACTCCTCAAGCACAAGAGGTAGTCTTTATACCAACGCTTCCAAAAATCAGCCACTATTTGCTGCCTGTACTTCCAATGCTTTAAAGTATCGGAGCGAGTTCCCGACGTTTCAGCAGTATTAGCACTAGGCAGTGTAGTAGACTTCCTACCGGTTAGAAAGTGCGAAGGTGTAAGTACAGCTGGATCGGTAGCGTCAGCGGAGAGGTACGTTAATGGCCTAGAATTCACTACATTTTCTACTTCGGCAAGAATGGTCACAAGCTGCTCGAAATCAAAGCAACCTTTCCCTAGAATTTTCCGTAGGCAGCTTTTAACAGTGCGAATCATCCTCTCCCAAAATCCACCCCACCAAGGACTACGTTCTGCAATGAATTTCCAGGTAATGTGGTTATTAGAGCAAAAGTCCTGTACTTTTGCTCTAATGAAGGAGACGCAAACTGGCGTTTGCGTCTCCTTCATTTGGTGCCTTTAAACTCCGAAGCGTGGTTTTCCCACATCGATTTTGGTGCCGACGACCCGGGAATCAAGCCTACAACGACCCGAGCCTTTCATTCCTGGTGTGGGTGAGCTGCGCTGCGAGCTAGACCGACATGGAGCGAGCGAAGAGCAAGCGGGCCTCGCGGCGATCGATGAACACGAGAATCATCAACGAGGTCAACCAGGTGCTCCAGTCCAATGAGTTCGAGCTTTCTGGACTTCGAATGCTGCACGGCCGCCTACGCGCCAGCAACGTGGAACTTAAAGCCTTGAACAACGAGGTTGAAACCCTGATCACTGACGACCTGGCGGCAGACGACTATGAGGTGGTCATGCAATACGATGACGCCGCTAACAGTACTCTGGCGTTGCTCGAGCACCACATTGAAGTTCTGAAGACTTCTGCTACGCCGGCGTCGTCTACAACTCCAGCCATGGGCGCAAGGACCTGTGAGGGTGCACCGAGCGAGCATGAACGACTTCCACAACGTGAGTTCGGCGCACGACTTCCCAAGCTGGAGCTTCTTCGTTTCGATGGAAACGTGATCAAGTGGCAACCCTTTTGGGATATGTTCCTGCACTCCGTGCACGAGAACCCAAGGCTGTCCAACACAGACCGGTTTCACTACTTGGCCTCACTTCTAGATGGACCTGCAGCTCAGGCCGTCGCCGGTATTCAGGTGACAGATTCTTGTTACGATGACGCGCTGGAAATTTTGAAACGTCGGTTTGGAAACAAGAAAGTCATTGAGCAGAAGTACTTAGGAAATTTGCGCACGCTCAAACCAGTGAAATTAGCGAGTGATGTCACTGCTCTGCGCAAGCTTTTCGACACAGTTCAACTAAACAGGAGGGGACTGCGTAGTCTTGGAATCACGGAGTCATCCTACGCGGCTATGCTGAATGAAGTTCTGCTCAAAGTCATACCAGCTGACATTGTCGTAGAATACTTCAAAAAAGAAAGTAGGGAGAACACGACGGAAACGAGCCAGGCTTCATCTGATCAGGAACTTGAGCAGCTGATGAAATTTCTCCGCATCGAAGTTGAATGTCGAGAAAAGAGTTCTTTAGTGAACAAATTGCCAACGACATCGAACAACAGCGTACCTGTATTAAATAGATCATTCAAGAAGCAGTCCGCGACTCCTACAGCATCCGTTCTTCAAAACAAGACACTATCTTCCCCCTCGTCCTGTTTTTTCTGCGCTGCTACCGATCACAAGACAGAGGACTGCACGAGTGACATGACTCTGGCCGAGAAGCGCAACAAACTTGTAACAGACGGTCGATGCTTCCGGTGCACGTCAAAAGGACATCTGGTCCGCAATTGCCGGCGGAGAGTGCACTGCCAAGCATGCAAGCGCAGACACGCCTCCTCGATGTGCAATGCTAGTAGTTCTGAAACACCATCAGTGACTAATGCTCAGAAGAAACCGAATGCTACGGTGCAAGTTTCCACTCAGAGAGCTTCAGTTCCCCGACTCATCAATGATGTTCTTCTCCAGACTTTTCGAGCTTGGGTAACGACTTCATCTCATTGTTGCTATATACGCGGTGTTCTCGACAACGGAAGCCAGCGAACGTTCGTCACTGAGAGCGTCGCTTCCAAGCTAAGTCTACCTGCTGTTGCCGAGACCGAACTCGCCATCAGTGCGTTTGGTAGAGCGAGCGACCCAACCCGACGATTCAAAATGGTCAAGATCACGCTCCGCAGTCAGCACGACGACCTAACCATTGACATTGAGGCCATAGTGGTGCCCTTTATTTGCGAGGAGATGATTGAAGCACCAAGGCAGAGTCGTCTTCTTCAAGCCATCGCAGCGGAGGGGAAACATCTGGCTGACGCAGTCGTTTACCCGAGTGTAGATTGTGAGCCAGGTGTGAGTGTCCTCATTGGATCGGACCAGCTTTGGAAGTTGATGCCCAACACGAGTGAAGTGAGGTGGGATGAAGAAAACCCTGCCTTACTCGCCATTAACACAAAGATGGGCTGGACTCTCCAAGGCCCCTTATCTGGTGGTGGAAGCACGAGTAACAAAGCAAGCACCCAAGTATGTGTTCTTCGAACAGGTTCCCACGAAGACGACCAGATCGCCTTCCCATTACAAAGATTTTGGGACCTCGATGCTATCGGAATTGCCGACACGCCGACGTCTCAGTGCAACGCAGATATTTTGGAAGAATTCAACAACACTACCAGGCTTCGGAAAGGACGCTATGAAGTTGCGTTGCCATGGAAATCACCTCTCGTCGACATGGCCGACAATCGCAAAGTAGCCCTTTCGAGGCTCCATGGACTCGTCAAGCGGCTGTCACCAAACGACGAAGCCATGAGAGCCTACGATAAGGCTATCAGGCAGTATGAGGTGGACGGTCATGCTGAAAAAGTTGAAGATGCCCCTTATTGTACACAGCACCTATACTACATGCCGCATCGAGAGGTAATCCGCGAAACATCTACGACGACGAGACTTCGCGTAGTCTTCGACGCATCATCGCATGCATCAGGAGCTTGTTCTCTCAACGAACAACTCGAAAAAGGTCCTAATCTGAATGCTGACCTTTTCAAGGTTTTGATCCGGTTTCGCCTTTTCGCCATCGGAATTACAGCAGACGTGCAGAAGGCGTTTCTACAAATCAGCATTCGAGAAGAAGACAGAGATGCTCTTCGTTTCTTGTGGTTTGAAGGGCTACCAATGTCAGGCAGACCACTGCCAAAAATACAAGAAATGCGAATGACCAGAGTTCCATTCGGCACCTCCGCAAGCCCTTTCCTATTATCTGCAACGTTGAAATACCATTTCGATCACGTTGAACAAATTTACCAAGTAACGGCCGCAAAACTGAAGGCAAGCTTCTACGTCGATGACCTAGTTTTCGGAGCTTCAACGACAAAAGAAGCGCTACAACTCTACGAAGAGACGAAGGCCATAATGGAGCTGGCCGGAATGAAAATGCAGAAGTGGTCAACAAACAGCGACCTGTTAAGAGAGAAGCTCAAGCAAGCAGGAGAGACGTCAGCTGAGCAGGTCACACAATCTAAGGTTCTTGGGCTATCCTGGAACTACACCGACGACACCATTTCGGTGAAAATTGACTCTGTGACGAAAGTCTTAAAAGCGGGACTTTGTACCAAGCGAACTGTGCTTCAGGCTTCATCACGAATTTTCGACCCCTTGGGACTG